CCTTGAACAATTATAATACTATAAGAAAGGGATTGGCAGTAGTGGGAAACTGCCGGGGGAGGGAGGGGTGCACCTCATCAACAAGGGTACCTGCATAATCAACGTTTGTATACCTAACCCTGAATGGCACCCCACATCTTTATAATAATAATAATAAAAAAAGAGGGTGTGTGAAATGAACCGACACAACTGAAAACACTTTCTGAAACTTCATGCTTACATTGCCACCTTCTTCCGGAATGTTGGGAGCTAGCTCCGTGTTAATGATGTTCTCCAGGCTGCCCAGAAATCCATCAAGACAGACGTTATTCCACACAAGTCCCACGAAACCAAGAATATTAGGACGTTACCACTTTGCAATCCTTAATGAAATAATAGATTGAAAAACGCATCCACAGATATTAAAGCCACGAGGTAAAATGTTACATAAATTTCCAGAATGACCCTATTTGCTTGCTCTTTTTTTTTTAACTTTCGTTTTCTTTTTTTTAGGTATTTTAAGTAATCTAGAAAATGGCTCTGCTTTCTGCCAGCATCCAATCTCAAGAGAACCGTTTCCCTAGACTCTCCCCCAAAGCATCCTCTCACAGAGAGGCCCCAGGCTGCAACTAGTAATAAATCCAACCTGTTTACTTTGGTTAGAAGGCATTGACAAGCAAGTTTGGCTAAATACTTGAGTTTGTAGAGGGAGGGAAATCATTAGGAAGCCACTGAAGAAAAACTAATGAAATCTGTAAAAAAAAAAACAACAACAAAAAAACCACCACCACCACCAACAAAAAAAACCTTTAAAAAATGGATTGCAAATCAAAAGGTATTAAGGAAAACTGAGTCACCAAGGAATTTGAAAGGACTTCTCTAAATGGAAGGCCGTGCCGGGGAGTTTCATGGGGCTGTGCACATTTTCATTGTCTTTAAGAGGGTGTGTGATCTCATTCGTAAGCGGACCTTGAACAATTATAATACTATAAGAAAGGGATTGGCAGTAGTGGGAAACTGCCGGGGGAGGGAGGGGTGCACCTCATCAACAAGGGTACCTGCATAATCAACGTTTGTATACCTAACCCTGAATGGCACCCCACATCTTTATAATAATAATAATAAAAAAAGAGGGTGTGTGAAATGAACCGACACAACTGAAAACACTTTCTGAAACTTCATGCTTACATTGCCACCTTCTTCCGGAATGCCAGGAGCTAGCTCCATATTAATGATGTTCTCCAGGCTGCCCAGAAATCCATCAAGACAGACGTTATTCCACACAAGTCCCACACAACCAAGAATATCAGGACGTTACCACTTTGCAACCCTCAATGAAATAATAGATTGAAAAACGCATCCACGGATATGACAGCCAAGAGCTAAAATGTCACATAAATTCCCTTCGTTTGTATCAGGTATGAAAATTATGAAATCCATGCACACAGGTGGCAAACACTTTTCTGCGGTTTCCCAGTATCCATCCATATTCTCTATGCAGCTTAGTGGTACCCAATGCCCAGAATAGATGCCACTCTCCTAGCCTCCTCCGCAGTTAGTTGTAGTCCTGTGACTAAGTTCTTGCCAGTGAGATGAAAACAAAGATGGAATGTGGTGGCTGCTGAAGGCTTCCTTGTCAATGCTTTTTTACTTTTTGTTTCTGTTTTATTTTTTTAGCCATCCCCGGAGAGGTTTTTGGTTTGGTTTCGAGACCCGATCTCGCTGTATCGCCCAGGCTGGACTTGCACTTCTCGGCCCAAGGGTCCCCCCCATGGCCAGTAGCTGGGACTACAGGCCAGGGCCACCACACGCGGCTTCAACCTCTTCTCGGTCCTGTTCCTTCGTGAGTCCCGCTGCCTAGATTAGCACACAGACATCCTGGACCGCGAAGCAGCACGCAGCCCGGGACTGCCTTCCCGGCTTGTATGTGACAGGGAGGCCAACAGGGAGGAAGCTGGAGGCTCAGAGCTCGCTGAGCCTGGAGGAAGGAGGAGGATCTGTGATCTGAGGAGGAAGACGGGAGAAGGGCAACCAGGGAGAGGAGGAAAAGGAGTGGCAGAGAGAGGGACAGAGAAGGAAGCAGGGGAGAGGCAGAGGGGGAGGGAGCAGAGGACGAGGCTTGAGGGCCAACCGGAAACTGTTAGTATGATGCCATCGGGCACAAGTTATGGAAGATGGATCTAAGACGATAGAACTGATCAGGAAATGTGTTAATTACCTCGGCCACGAGGTCGAGGCAGGACAGGCTCAGGCGTGGCAGGTGCAGCAGGGCTTTGGCTCTGCAAAATGGCGACCGGCTTCAGGTATCATGTGGAGACAGAGGACTGCTCAGAGGAAAAGGAGGGCCCTTCTTCTATATCTCTTTCTTAAAAGTGAAGAATCCTTTTTCCCAGAAGCTTCTCGGGAGGCTACCCGTTTGGCCTCACTGGCCAGAGCTAGGCAACATGCCCATTACCAAAGCAATCACATGCAAGAATAAGATTACCATGAATAACAAGCCATTCATACTGTACAAGATCCACCTCAGAAACTGAGACACACAGGGGAGGGACAGACTCAGGACCACTACTTATGGTTGTGCAAGCTGTGCACTGCACAACTCCAGGAGGGCCTGCTTACAGTCAGTCAGTTGTAAGCTTATCCCAAAAAACTTCCAGTAGGTGGCAGTATAGTGCTTGAGGAGAGGGCACCTGTTTCTGATTCACAGTCACAGCAAGCTACCAAGGGAGACACCTAACAAAACCCAGCTTCTGTTAGAAGGAAGGCGGGGTGGAGGTGAGAATGAGTGCTCTGTACGTAATGGTGATGAGAGTTCTGCAACACAAAGTAAATAACTGAATTTATTGTAAACCTTTTAAAGTTATACAGGATAAATTATATTTTCATGAAAAAATCCATTCCAGGCTTAAGAAGTTTTGAGAATCTTTATTCAATTCCAATGTAGTTACTCGGGGAAAAAAAAGTACTAGACAAACAAATATCCTAAATTGAAAATCATCATGTACAAAACCCACTATTATCAATAAAAAGTTTAAAGTGTCAAGATTGATTTATACAAGAATAACAGCATTCATGCAAAGACCCTACCTTCTGTCTTTTATATCAAATGACTAAGGTATACAGAAAATGACTACACCTTGAGAAAAGACATCAGTGAATAGATAAAATATTATCATTGACGATTAGTCACGTAAAGCATGATTACTTTTAAGAAATCTGAGATTTAAAGAAAATATTAAAGTTCTTTCACTATTTCTACCAACTGTATGTCAACAGAAAAAGAAAATATAGTCAAAACTAAACAAGCTGGCCAGGCACAGTGGCTCACACATATAATCCCAGCACTTTAGGAAGCTAAGGAGGGAGGATTGCTTGAGCCCAGGAATTTGAGACCAGCCTAGGCAATATAGTGAAACCTCATCCCTGTAAAAAATTTAAAAATTAGTTGGGTGCAGTGGTTCACTCCTGTGATCCCAGCACTTTGGGAGGACGAGGTGAGAAGATTGCCTGAGTCCACGGGTTTGAGACCAGTCTGGGCAACTTGGTGAGCCCTTGTCTCTGCAGTCTCAAAAAAGTTAGCTGGGCGTGGTGGTGCAAGTCTATGGTTCCAGCTGCTTGGAAGGCTGAGGCAGAAGGATTGCCTGAGCCCTACAGGTCAAGTCTGTAGTGGTGGTGAGGGCGCCACTGCACTCCAGCCTGGGTGACACAGTGAGACTCTGACTCAAAAAAAAAAAAGCAGCTGTAGGTGGCACACGCCTGCAGTCCCAACTACGTGGGGAGGCCGAGGCAGGAGGACGGCCTGAGTCCAGGGGAGGCTGCCTTGAGCCACGACTGTGCCACTCACACTCCAGCCTGGGCAACAGACTGAGACTCCGACTCGAAAAAAGAAGAAAAGAAAAAAAAAGCTAAACAAGCAGGCAAGTGATAAAGTTGGAACTACAGAGTGATATGTGAAGGAAAATTTTCAAAACTGAGACTGGGTAATAAATCTGCTCCTTCCTATAATCTCTACTATCTTTTTTTAATATCAAGGCAAAACCATATAAATGGTTAATATGATCTAAAATGCAGGGGTGCTCTTTGGATCAGTGTACATATGGGGTTAATAATATATGCACCGTGTGCGATGAAATGGAATCCCTTTCATATCATCCCTATGGTCGCGGGCATAGTCCCATAGGTAGTAATCCAGAAGAACGGAATTGATCTCTCCATTAGGTTTTCCGCCCTGTTTTTCAACAAGCTCCAGAAGACAATCCCGGATCAGCTCCACACACCAAAGTGAGCACCCCCTGATTTCCACCTCTTGCTTATCCCCATATGAGAGCATTTCTCCTGCAAGGGGAAAAAACAGCAAGAAGCATTAATAGTCAATGATACAAAAATCTACTCATAACTTTACCGTAGAACAAAACAGTTTAGATAGTGCTCAAAATAAACTGTAAGCCTCAGACTTTATTTTTGATAATTTAAACCATTTCTAAATTGAGACATTAATTTTAAATTACAAGTTAAATTCCACAAGGACAGGTGCTGTGCCTGGCTTGTTTGCCTCAATATCCCTAGGACCTAGCAAAGTACCTTTCACATACTAGCTCCACAGTAAATATGTGATAAATGAGTATGTGGTAATCATAAATTTAAAAACAGACTATAGGTTGGGTCTGGTGGCTTACACCTGTAATCCCAGCACTTTGGGAGGCTGAAGGCAAGAGGATGGCTTGAGCCCAGGAGATCAGCCTGACCAACATAGCAAGACCTGGTCTCTACTAAACAAAAAAAAATTACCGGGCTCGGTGGCTCAGCCTGTAATCCCGTGCTCTATGCTCTTTCCAAACTCTAGTCTGCTTACAATTTTTTAAAAATGCTTTTTGTATTTCCAGGTTAATAGAAAGTTTGAGCTTTATATTTGAAATATTTAACAGTCATGGCACTTTTTTTTTTTTTTTTTTTGAGTTGGAGTCTCACTCTGTCGCCTAGACTGGAGTGCTGTGGCCGCTCCCGGACACCGCATCCTCGACCTGCTGGGCTCCGGCGATCCTTCCGCCTCAACCTTCCGAGTAGCCGGAATTACAGGCAAGCGCTACCACGCCCGGGTGATTTGTTTATTTATTATAGAGATGACGTCTC